CTCCGAAAAAAGAGTTTGCTTTACCTTCTGGCTCGATTTCAGTACTGGTGTAGTTTTTTGTACTTTTGCGCGTTTACGATGCGTCACGGAAAAAAATCCATGCACTTGAGTTTAAATAAGGAAATACCTTTTTTTCCAATATGTAAATAGCATTTAAAAGAGAGAGAGAGGTACAGAGCTATTTGCATGAAAATTTGCGACGCAACTCACGCAACGAGGGCTAGAGGGGGGAGGGGGTTTAGCAGCAATCGCGGTTACACACATCCCACAAGCAGAAGAATATGAGAAAGAGAGAAAAAGAGGAACTCCATATATGTGTATATTCTTCTGTTCTGTTTCCTCTTTGCATCTTAATTGACGTCCGTGAAAATCCGTGCCTATTAGTTCTTTGCTGCCGTGCAACTTCAAATGAAATTGCAAACAAATTTATACTTCTTATTCCGCAAACTCTGCCATCTCACCATCTGGGGCCGTACCATATTACTATTTTTCTGTACATCGGCCAATGTTATAACATAAGCCCACGAAGCTAAAAAAAGTTATATGGTACGGCTCCAGTAGGGTATGTGTAAAATCAATGATTAAAATCATATGTGAAATGTAAAGACGCAATACCACATAAAGAAAAAAAAAAAATTTAGATCAGTGCCACCTAGTGATATTTTCAAAAAGCCCAAGGCCGGCCGCCAAACCACCCCCCCCGCCCAATGCCATAAGGCGTGTCTGCTATGTCGGTAACACTGGTTCTGTCGTATCGACATCCGCCGGTAACAGTAACCGGTACTGCCGGCAGTTTACAATAGATAAGGGCGATCCCTACTATGTTGACTATGATCAAGCGCGCTCCCACAGTCCCACTTTTGGCAATGTGCAAGAGAGACAGATACTCACGTTCGATGTTGTGTCTCTTTCAAAGAGACTCTCGCTCTTTGTACTTGTGAGTTGAGCTTTAGCGTCGTGCAATTTAACTTACAGAAGAGCCGTGTAATTGCGATTATAAACTACGGGATACAAACCAAGTATTGTCTTCGGAAATGCTATTTGCAGCATGATTTAAAGTCATTTTATGCTTTAAAATTGACCATGGGTTCATTTTTGTAAGATCAAATTGCTTTTGCAAATTTGCACACTACAATAACAACATATACCGGCAGCCACGTTTTTAGGTGTTGATATTCTGCTGGTTTGTAACTAATATGTAAATTATCGTTTTAGTCTCATGAATTGAAAATAAAATTAATTCCATCCGCTTTCAAGTATGGCTATGGCATCGTTGTTTTACTTCTACTCACATCATGTGTTAATTTGACACAATTGACACATAGATGTATTACGTATATTAAGTATCGAGAATTTACCAGACCTATTTTGCAAAAAATTAGGTACTCAATAAGTGTGTATTTGTGGACATGAAATTTTTATGGACGCCATCATATAAATATGCAGATGTTACGTCCGTTCATTAAATGCTGCTATGCCTTTATGCAGCATTATTTATTTGAGATTATGAGCCGCAGAATAATTACGTTCCGTAAAAATTACTCAAGTCTTTTCAAAATAGTATTTTGATCATTAAAAAAAAAATCATAATGTG